CCTTGGCGGTGTCAGAGTAGCAAACATCCTTGGGTTTTCATCGACTTAAGGATGTTCGCTACTCTGTTTCAAAATAACAAGCTTTTTAAGACTGTTATGAATTGATAGTATATAAATAAAGATACTAAAAAAGCAGAAAAAAATGAAGGGTCCGTGTGCTTGTTTTCGAGATATAAGTCATTGAAAATGTGGCGGGAAATAATTCTCTCTAGATTTTTCATGCATTTAACAATGGCACCTTTTTTCCTTCAAAAAAAAAATGAAAAAATAACAAGGATTTTATAAGATTTTCAAAGATGTCATTTTAAATTAAATGTAATCAAATTATGGAAAGAAAAGTAGGGGTTAGTGGGCAAAATTGTTATGGCACTACATGGATAAAACCAGACGATTCCGAATATCTGGCAAAAATTCAAAACAAAAAAGAGGAGCAAACATCCTCAAAAGTTTTGAATGTCTCCTTGTTATCTTCCAACTCTCTTTAATTTGACGGATGAATGATACCTTTTAACATTCGAATTCAAGGGACAAAATCAGTGGCCTTGTCATACCTGCTCTTTTGCTTGATAGTCTGTATAGATAAAAAATATCAAACCGCTTTGCAAATCAGGAATAAATAAGACGCTGCATTGTTGTTGTGTTGAGCATACCCCAATCGCAATTCAAAGTATCTGAAAACAAGAAGTAATTGTCTATGCTATCAGAAACATTATATATTTACACTTTCAAGTTGCAGCCAGAGATACAGTAGTTCTGTTGAGTAGAACTGGAGAAAAATATTGGAAAATCCAAAGTATTGGTATACAAGAAGTAGTTTACTGTCAGATCTCTAAATAGCTCGCACGTTACAACACTTCATAGTAAAGCTGCACATATAACGCCATTCTTTTCTTTCGGTAGTATCTGTGACAAGAATGACGGTATATACTCTACCATTAAATGGGAACATACAATCGAAATCTAGATGTTAAAATAAGTGAGATAATCAAAAAAGGGTAATACGAACTGACATCAATGTGAATCAAAACTTTCCTCAATTAGACAATTATCACAAGAAAAAAATAAAAAAAAATAACGAAGTTCAAATGAATCTAGAACATGGAAAGACCTTTTAATCTTTATTTGGAATTCATTTCTTTTTGTTGATTTCTCTGTGTCTTTGTGTTAATGCCTTTGTGTCTTTTTTAATAAATAAAATATTGGTTGGTATCATTATCAATAATATTATCATTTAATTTAAACTAAATGTGATTGCAATTGTAGACCTTTAACACTTATCGCAGTTAATATATGTTTTTATGTTCGACTTGTAGGTTAGCAGTAGGTTCCACTTTTTTTAATTAATTTTTTTCCTTGAAACAAGTATGTTTTCAATATATTGAAATACATATCAGAACACACAGTACGCTACACATCCAGCCCCATTACCAACATTTTGACAAGCTGTACACGTGACTGATTCCAACTCTGATAGAATGACCGCCTGATCGCCATCACCTTGATTTAAATATTTCGAAAAATGTTACATCTTTGTATGAAATAGTCTTTTTGATGATGAGAATTCGAACGATAGAAATAAGTAAAGAACTTATAGAAATTATAAATTAAAGTATGAACTTGAAAAATATCTTTAATTAAATTATATTTAATATATAAAGGAAAAATATGCTTGTCCTCTTATTAAAAGATATAAAAAAACATCACAAATATCATATACTGACGTCAATGGATGGACTTAAATAACTGTCTTAATTGAGATGAACTTGTTGGCCGAGATGTTTTTTAGGGTTATTTTTCCTGAAAGGTGTGAAATGGGTATTATAAATTAATTTATAGAAGTGAAGGTTACATTTGATATTTTGACCTAGGAATGTGGAGTTTCAGATACGACTGTTAGTCCCTGAGAGTATCATCAACTCAGTAGTCAGTGCTTCTGTGCTGCCATGATTTTTAAAAAAACTTTGTTTAAATTCTACCTTGATAAATTAAGAAATTATTAAGAAAGTATGGTTTCAGCTACCACAGGTAGAGTTGACCCTAGATAAATTTTACTATTTTTGTAGGTTCCTTTTGATTAAATAGCTCTTCACGCGTTTTTGTTGTGTACAACTAACACTGGATCGATAACACTGTGTAAGGACTGTAAGTCCCTGAGGGTATCACCTCAGAAGCAATTGCTTCGGTGCTGAGATTATTTGTAAACAAATTCTAGGGTAAAGTCTCTGTTGATAAATTACAAAATTATAAAGAAAGTAAAGTTCCAACTTCTTATCAGGCAAAGTTGAATTTGGATATTTTGCGGTCCCGTTTGATCATATAGCTCTTTAAGTGTTTAGGTTATAGCTATTACTGGCTTCCATACATTTTGGTTTGAGCATTTCTTCTTAGGGTAAATTAAGAAAAGCGCTTCGGATACACGAAATTGATAAAGTATTATTCTCATTTACTAGCACTTGGTCGATACCTCAGCTTGGGAATCGTTAGCCCTGCGGGTATAATGATACCAGTTTCTAGTGCTACAGTGCTGACATGATTATGAAACAAACTTTGAAAAAATTGTCCGTTGATAAATTCAGAAATTAAAAGGAAATATAGTTCCAACCCCCTCAGGTAAAGTTGACTTTAGATGAATGTGGCTTCTTTAAGGTCCCTTTTGGTAAAATAGCTCTACGCGTATTTAGGTGTTATACATCCGGGGCTTTCAAATGTTTGTGCTTGAGCGTTCTCTACTAAGGTAAATCCAGAAAAACGCTTAGGACGCACGAAATTAATAAAGTGTTATTTTCATTTAGCAATATCAAGTTACATTTATTATCCACATCTCCTTATTTTTTTATAGGGGTTCTACAATGATCATATGTTTTGTAGCTCTCATTTTATATCTTAACAATTTATTATTTTAAAAGTAACAGACAGCTATGCGTAGGAATTTTTTTTATTTCAGTAATGTAGTACTGTCTGGTATGTTTTCATGACACGACCACGTAAAAGGGATTCTACAACCAAAACTTGTTATATTGACTTTTGCTTTACCTTATTTCGTTCGATGCTCTATTCTAGCAACCAGGAACGTATAAAGCTATAGTCCAAATAATTTTTATAGAGAAAAACTGGAACATGTCTTGTTGTATGTTAGGGTTTAAGTACGACCTTAGATATATATATATATATATAGTGTGAAAGACTTCATATGAATTCATATATGTATGTCCTTCCTTGTCAAAATATATAAAAGATGGTTTGAGATGGATAAATGTAGCTTCTAGCACTGGATCGTATGTGTTACGCTATTTCTCCACTTTAAAACGCGAGGTTGTCGAGAGCGGGGAAATAGCGTATTGATGGTTGGATCTGTTTTTCTAATGATTTTCAGACGATATGCAGATAAACTTAAACCTTCTTTTCCAATGATCTGCAAAAAGTAAAATAACAAAAATACAGAACGCCAAGGAAAATTAAAAACGGACAGTCCCTTATCAATTGGCAAAATCAAAAACTCATACACATCAAACGAATGGAAATGATGTGTTTTTTCAATGTTATTTGATTAGCATGGTCGCTTTTTGTCGTGACGTCAGAATAGGAAATTCGGAGGAAAGCAAGAAAATTTGATGTCATAATTGAATTTTGACCAATGAAAAACTGAGATCAAACCAACCACACGTTGATTAAATAAAAAATAATCAACAGGTCATGAAAAGGATAAATCGGCTAAGATTTAGAGAAAATAGTTTACATCAAAATGAAGATTTATACATTATGCAAGTCAGTCTGCTTTCTTAGTTCCAGTCGTTAAAATCTGCCTGTCGGTGTATATGTGATAAGATTTTCCAAATAGCATAGAAACGATGTTTTGTTTATGATTGTCCTTCTGTTTCTTTTGGAAGAATATTTTACTATGACTATATTATGGTAAGGAGTAATTTCTATCTAGATATAAAAAAGAATATAGGAATTGTTATATTACATTAAAATTCACAGTAGCATAATATATTATGAAAAAGCAGTAACAAGGGAAAGTTATGGTAAGAAACATTATCTGGCACCAGGAACACCAAATATAGTAAACTGATCCAATCCGTTCAAATTATGTTAATTTTATAAATAAATTAAAATGATAATATGATCTAGAAATTGTAGAACGGAAATGTTATTTGTGATGTCACTATAACGTCATAAATATGAAACTCCGAAATACTCTAGTATCAGATCAATCTTCACATGTGGCACCTGTCTTTGTATAAGACATCTTGCAGTAAAATATCTTTCTGGGTAAGGCTTTGGCTTATATCCAAATATTGTTGTCAAGTCTTCAAAATGAAGCTATTTTGACATTTTTAAAGTATCCGATACAAATAAAAGTTTGATGTCCTAATTAAATATGTTTAACATTTACCAAAAACAGTTCATCATATCTCTTCTACAGTAATGTGAAGCATTTTATTTCGTGTTGATGAGTCTAATGAAAACTTGTTCTTCTTTTCGTCGTTTTTCGTTTTTTGCCTTGGCGGTGTCAGGTTTTCATCGACTTATAAGTTTTGAATGTCCATTTGGTATCTTCCCTTTTTTAAAATTTGCTAGATATATGATACCTTTTAACATTCGAATTGAATTCAAGGGACAAAAGAAGTGACCTCGTATCTTCTCTTTTGCTTGATAGTCTGTATAGATAAAAGATATCAAACCGCTTTATAAATTCAGGAATAAACAAGACGCTGCTCGTGTTGTCGTGCTGAGAATACCCTAGAGAGAAGAATATTGGAAAATTCTAATTATTGGAAGACAAGAAGTATGTGTCTGACAGATCTCTAAAGAGCTCGCACGTTACAACACTTCACGGCCAAACTGCCAAATATAAAGTCATTCTTTTCTATTAGTAGTATCTGTGAAATGTATGACGAACGGACATCAAAATAATGTAATTTAAAACCTTCCTAAATTAGACATATATCACAAGAAAAAAAACTCAAACGAAGCCAAACAAATTTAGAACAAACAAAGACCTTTTAATCTTTATTTGGAACTCATTTGTGTTTGTTAAATCATGTCTTTCTTGTTCAATAAAATAACAAATTGGTTTGTTTCATTGTTATCACTTAATTGAAACAAAATCAGATAGCAATTTTAGACCGTTAAACACTTATAGTAGCTAAAATAATTGTTCTGCTAGCAATCAAGGTTAGCAACAGGTTCAAGAAAAGAATACGATTGTTTTTACTTGAAATAAGTATACTGTTTAAAGTGTAAAAGAAATATCAGGACACACAGTACGCTTCACATCCTGCTCCATTACCAACATTTTGACAAGCTTTACACATGACTGATTCCAACTCTGATAAAATGACGGAATGATCGCCGTCACCTAAAATTAAATAATTCGAAATACGTTACATCTTAGGATAAATGGTTAATGAGCAATCAATATAACCACAGCCTATTACCGGGTTCACTCACATCAGATTCAATAGGGACTTTGTTCCTGGTTACTTTTCAAATCAGGTGCTTTTGCTATCGTGTACAGCAGATTTTTGTCTACCGTTCCGATAGCCATTGAAATACAATAGATTTTGTAATTGTGTACAGCAGATTTTTGTCTACCGTTCCGATAGCCATTGCAATACAATAGATTTTGTAATCGTGTACAGCAGATTTTTGTCTACCGTTCCAATAGCCATTGTAATACAATAGATTTTGTAATTATGTACAGCAAATTTTTGTCTACCGTTCCGATAGCAAAAAAAGTAAACGGTCATCATACATATTCAAATTTATTTCGGAGTATTATAATGAAAGTTTTTCAATTTACTGTGTATGTAGGTTTTTTTGGCAGTGTTAGAAAGTGTTGAACATTCTAAAAAGGCTATCATTATCCCTATTGGCCAGGAAATACTACCGTGCCACCTTGATATATATTTCATAAATTAGAAAACAAATACGGGTATAAGATGCCTATCCCGTTTTTTAGACATCTCAATGTTCCTGTTTTGTACATTAAACCCAAATCATTAAAAAACATAGAAAAGGTAAACATTTCATTATGAAATTAAGATCCTCTAAATAGTTTCATTAAAAGCTTTTGGTTTAAGATCAGTTTCGGATAAAGATTGGTCGATGGTTGGTGTTTTACGCCTTTATCACCACTACCTGGTTATATCATGGCGGCTAGTTTTTTTAGTGGCGGATGGAGACTGAGAGGAAAATTGGCAATCCTAGTAAATTAAGATCGGAGTCGAACGCACCTTGTCACTAACGGTTTCGAACAGCTGCAGATGAATGAAGGAACGGACGAACGAATGGACGAAAGAATGTACAAAACAATGACTGCTTACCATCCACTTAAAAACCAGTGATATATTATATAGATGACCCGAAGATATTAGCTACATATTTTTTCAGTGATACAAGTAATTAACAGGGGAAACGTACATTTATGCATCATTCAAAACTTGTTATTCTTGAATTAGAAATCTTATCAGTCTCGAAGTTTATGTAATAAAACTTTCTGATATGACATTTTTGATGAACATTATATTTTCCTAATACAACAATACACTTACAAAAGATCTTCTGTAAATGTGTATCTTCTTTTGTAATTGCTAGTTGGCAGAAAATTTCTGGGGAGTAGCTGAATACATTATCTGAAAAATATACATCAAAATATACAATGATGCAATTGAATATATTGTGAATGTTAACCTCCAGCGGTCTGTTGGTTATTTGTGTCGTTCTCAGGGACCAAAACCCAATTGGCTTTTAAAACAAAACCATAAAACAGCGTTTAACACGTCCGGTCTGTGTTTTCGTTAGATAGTTTCTGCTTTGTATCGATCTGATGAGTTAAGCCCTTTTCAACTGATTTTTATAGTTTGTTCTTATGCTGTACTGTAACACCACTGTTCCAGGTTAGGGGAAGGGTTTGGCGCCAGCGACCTAGTTGAACCCCGCCACATTCTTTATGTGCCTGTCCCAAAGCTTAAGTCAGGAGCCCGTAGTGCAGTGGTTGTCATTGGTTCATGTCAGTCATATTTGATTTTCGTAAATTGTTTTGTTAAAAATTAGGCCGTTCGTTTTCTCAATTGAATTGTTTCATATTTTTCATGTCGGGGTCTTTCATAGCCGACTATACGGGATAGGTTTTTTCGTTGTCGAAGGCCGAACGGTTGCCTATAATTGCTTCAATCCACTCCATTTGAACTTTGGTGGATAGTTGTCTCATTGGCTATCAAACCACATCTCCCTTTGTTATATTTAATCTCATTCAAATGAACAAGAAAACTTGATAATTCACATAACGGTTTATTTAATAAGACCATCCAAAATGAGCCAATTAATTGGAAATGAGTAAAACTTGAGCTTTCATTTCAAAAGGATATGTATTGGTAAAAAGTAAAATTACAAAAATACTGAACTCCAAGGTAAATTCAAAACGGAAAGTCCCTAATCAAATGGCAAAATCAAATGACAAAACACATCAAACGAATGGATAGCCACTGTCATATTCCTGACTTGGTACAGGCATTTTCAAATGTAGAAAATGGTGGATTGAACCTGGTTTTATAGCGCTAAACCTCTCACTTGTATAACAGTCGCATCGAATTCCATTATATTTACAACGATGCGTGAACAAAACAGACATAATAGGTAACATTGTCAAAATTTGGGTACAGCAGTCATCACTGTGTCGCAATCTCAAATCAAACAAACATTTAACAAAGAAGCACAAGAAGCATCTATCAAATTTAACAACCACATTCATTGCTTACTTATATATGTATTTTAAATCAACCCATAAAGGATTGTTTTTGTTCTTCGTTTATCGCTTTAATGCGCTTTTCCATTCCAAAAGTGTAATTTTAACGATCTTTGCATAAAATATTGGTTAATTATGTTTCTGAATCTGTTAGATGTGATGTCTGTGTACGGTTTTACGTTTCTAAGATGTTTAATGCGGCGTTCACACAGTGCCGATTATGGCTCCCGTTTGAGATCAGACAGCGCTAAGACAAGAAAAGAAAAAAGTCGGATTACTATCCTCAATGATCAGGAATGTCCTATTATTGTCTCAACGCAGTCGTATACGTTCGTAACAGATTCCTATGGATCGGGAGAGGACGAACTAGCACCCCGACAGTTAGGTGCGTCCCGTAACATTCGGGGAAACTCATCCGATTTTGTCTAGTCGGGCTACAATCGTGACTATGTCGTGACAGATTCTGTTGTACCGGATCAAAATTGTAACAAAGTTCTGTGTTTTCTGGACGGTGTCCTGTGGAACGGGCACGATCTGGAGAAATTTGTCATCGCTGTTTTTTTTTTGCCGATTAGGTCCAGATTGCATCCAGATCTTGGCAAATACGAACAGCCTTTGTTCTGAAACAGTTCCGTTATTAATACGAAATTCGGCAATAATACCCACGTCAGAGTCCCGAAAATTACAGAACACGATACGACGGAGTCCAGACAAAGCCGTTTGCAATGCGGTACAGCAGACTGTGATAGGATTGCGTTCCAGTAGTACCTGATCATCCCGAATATGGCGATTAAAAAAAAAAACGGGACTATCACATAAAACAGTTTTTTAACGGATATCTACCGTCAACGTCGGTTTACTGTCTTATCAGTGTCTGAATTCTATCGGATCGCAGTCGGCAGAATCGGGACGCTGTCGGGACATATTCGGTCGTTTTTTTACCAAATGAAAGATACAAGTCGAATAAGAATGGGATTGAGAACGGGATAATCGGGACAAATGCGGCTAGAAACGGATGATTTGGACGTTTCCTGAACAACATCTAATTTTTGTCGTGATAAGATAAATGTTTTTACAAATTTAAATTAAAGCTTGAATTTCCAGCCACGATTCACCGGATCTTGATCAGACTTTTGACAAATTTTGATCGGAAATGGTCCTATCAAGGACGGCAGTAAAAATCGCGAATGTGTGACCCCGGCTTAAACGTCCTGAAATGTGTTTCAATTTTTTGTTGTTTGTAATCGTATTTGAGATGGTCGTGTATCGTATTTGTGATGGTCGTGAATCGTATTTGTGAGTGTCGTCTATCGTATAAGAACGCCTGTTGTGATTCCCTTTATTTTTATTTCATTAAACAGTACTGCTGATGACAATAGAATGACTGATCTAGTCATGAAATAGATCACTCTCCGTTCTTGATGGTTTATACATGCATTTTGACTATATATAGAGACCTAATAGAAACATTTGTGCTAATTAAAAAAAAAATATCTAACAAAGCCAGTCAGTAATAACATTTAGAAAAAGATGGGATAACAAATGATATAACATATATAACACATGGATTGTTGATAAACTATTTTTAAGGTAATTTGAACTCAAATGGATTCAGTAGTTTTCGTTTGTTGCTATATATCACATTTGTTTTTCGTTCATTATTTGTACCTAAATCAGACCGTTAGTTTTCTCGTTTCAATTGTTTTACATTTGTCATTTCGGGGACTTTTAAAGCTGACTATGCGGTATGGGTTTTACTCATTGTTGAAGGCCGTACGGTGATCTATAGTTGTTAATTTCTGTGTCATTTGGTCTATTGTGGAGAGTTGTCTCATTGGCTATCATACCACATCTTCTTAGTTTTATATTAAATAGTAGTAGTGGTGGTGGTAGTGGTAATAGTAGTAGAGTTAGTAGTAGTAAATTAATCTTACTAAAAAAATCTTGCGGTTCTTCTAAATCTGCAAAATAATAAATTACAAATGTAAATGTTCTATATATAATAACAGATACAAGCTTGCCTAGATGAGGTTGATTTGGGAAAGTCAATCCAATTAAATGTTTTGATTAGGGTTTTTGACTGTCGCATCACTTATCTATCTTAACTCTAAAGGTTGCCTTTGAACTTATGTTGATCTTTACTCATGATATCAGTGAAGCCGCATGTATAGGTTAACGTCTCAATTATTGTAAGAATTCAAATAAGATTAAGTTTTATTTTTTTCACTCAGTCAACTAATTTTTTCATATACAGAATGCTCATTGTTAGTTTATTCCTGTTTTGCACACTGTTGGATATACGAAGGATATGTTTCACTTATCGGAACAAAAATTTCACCTTATTTGCTTTGATTGTGAAATAACCCAATGCGCAACATGACGAATGCAACAAATAAAACAAGAACTGCTTATACTTCCGGGAACCTATATTTATCCCCCAATCGAGTTTTTGAAAGGTTAATGGTGCTCATTGTTTAGTTTTACATCTAGTGGTTTGTTGACTTTTGTTTGTCTTCATGTTGTTTTTAAACTGATACACTTATTAAAACAACCTACAGTATAATATTTTGTAATGCCTGATTCAGATTTTCATTGCTCAGTTTCGGCAATATGGAAATTAACATTATTTTACTGATTGAAGTGTGGGTATGGACTGTAAGAACTGTTTCACGAAGAAAAAAAAAAGCTGCAAAAATCTTTTATGGGTTTCAAATATTGCTTTAAGAAATTCGTGCAACTTCAAAAATCCGGTATTTTCAATTACCTGGGTTAAGTGTTGCATTTTTTTCTCTAATCAGAAAGAAGTATAGTAAGCATTTATAGTAGTTATATGCAGATCAATAAAAAAAATCACCAAAACGTGTGTTGCGTTCTTATAGTCCGTCATTATATGTCCAGTCTCAAATCTGTGTCTAATTCTATATTGCGTCATAGACGTCACAAATCTATCACAGTTCTCATGGACTGTTTTCTGTGTTGACAACAGAATTTTCAAAATATCTTCGATGAAATATGTTTGGTGTCAAAAACCTGTCGAAGGCCAAACGGTAAAATAGATTTAACATAGTGTAAATAAACATGCTTTAATATAATTTGCAATTAACAGTACATGTTTATTCTGTGGTTTGCCAGTTACTAAGAAGTTAGTTTGATCGAAAGATGTGATCAACTTATTTCTAATTGTGGTCTTAAAATAAAATTCAATTACAAAGTTTCAAAATATAAAAAAGATATAAAAACAAAAAGATTTATAAACCAAATCTCCGTTTCTTAAATAAAATTTTGTACAAGTTTAGAAATATTTTCTTTTTTCTCATCATTGAGGAATTCACTACCTGATAGTAATTTTTATATATTAACATTTCTTGGTAGTGTGTAAATGGTTTTTGTCCTAATGAGTCTATAATTATTTCATTATAGCAGATAGTGCTTGCTGCTCTCTACCTGTCTACTTATACAGAGATTGGAATGTATTCTTCTTGAAAAAGTGTTCATTTAAGCCACTGCCGTTCAATCGGAGTCTGGCATTCACTATTTGGCCTTTTCTTCAACCATTATTATAATATAAAGGAACTTTCATAAATAATTAAATAATGTTTAAGGGTGATTTTTGATGGATTACATCTTACGTCTTGTGGAAGGCTGTTCTATCCACGAATAACAGACGGTAAGAAGGAATTTTGATAAAAAGAAGTTCTACCGTTGATGTTTTGAACGTTGAATGCCATTCTAGTATTATATATAGTAATAACTTAGGCATATGTGTTGAGGTACGAGAATACAAAGATAATCAGAAACTTGATCAAGAAACATTTCGAGAAATTTAATAATTTTATGTCTGGAACTTCTTTCACGAAGACCTGTCATGAAATATTCTGTAATATTATGTCCATTAAAACAAATATTACAGTATTTGTTCCTGACGGGTTAAAGAGTATATAATATGTGTTCCAACAGGAAGAGATAGTACGGCATTGTTTATAACAAAGTTAACAAAGTTTCCAGAGGCCTGATGAAACTGATATAAATTTTTACAATTTGTAATAATGTGTTGTAACACAACGAGCGTATTAACCACAACGCATTCTTTATTTGCCTGTCCCAAGTTACGTCACATTACAGAAAGTCTATTTTATTAAAGGGAACCGACTTGAATAAACAAATGACCACATATTTGAGTGTCATGCATGACACCAAGGGACACAGATCTGAGAAAAAAACATAAATTTGAGTCTGCACAAAGGGTCACATATTTAACTGTCATGGCGCAGCGGGACAAGAGATCAGACAGAAATCAGAGGAAAGGACACAGATTTGTTGACAGACACAGGTCACTCTAACATATATTTAATACATCACTTTATAATAAATATGTGTACTGAGTTTATAGTTTCAAGTTTCAGTGTACCTTTGATACTCTAAAATTTTACGATCTTTCTATTACTCACTTGGATTATATAGATTGCAATATTTCGTAGAACAGTCTGAATATTTTGGTTGTTGGTTACAAACTGAACACATAATACCATTCATGGCATTGGCGGAATACAAATCTGCGCCTGAAAAAAAAGATAAAATGAAAACTCGTCACAATATCAACCAAATACAAATCTGCACCTGAAAAAAAGATAAAATGAAAACTCATCTTAAAATCCTACTCTGGCCTGTCTATGTTTCTTTTGGATCTTATGTAATCCTGATGAAGTTAATTTACATATGCAGATTAATAGCAACAAAAATAGTAAAATATACTTTTAATTTATATTTTACCAAAAGGCGAATGTGCTCGTGTCCATTTTAAGCATCTGAATTAACAAGAGTAGTATTCAGTACAATTATTCTAAAAAGACGATTTAGTGAAGATGCACCGAAATTATCCTGCAAATGAGTACTAAATTACCAAAGTATCAACATGGCGCTTTACATACCTCCAACTTTCTTTCGTATCATGTTTTATAACTTATAATGCAGCTCTATTTTTATTTCATTGTATTTACAAATAACAAATAACATCAATTACATGAAACAAACTTTTGTTCATTTTTAAGTTGATGATTAAGAAATTATTACGTAACTAAGGTTCCTACTCCTTAAGGCAAAGTTGACCTTGGCTGAATTTGACTATTTTTATGTCCCATTTGGTCATATGGCTTTTCAAGTGTTTAGGTCTTATAAATCCTTGACTTTTCCCAATTTTGGCTTTGAGCGTTCCTGGTTAAGGTAGTATGACAAAGCGCTTCGGACGAGCAAAGTTGGTAGTGTGATTTTTATGTAAGCTTTTTACTAAGACATGATTAAATGAATCATGATTAAAACCATTATCATTATCTACCAAAACAAATGCCTGACCATATCTGAAGACAAGCAATTGTTACATTAATAAAAACTAAATCATCTACATCAGGCTTGTATTCAATATTGATTTAAGAGACAGTGTGTAAGGCACCTACACTTCTTTGTTATACGAATGCAATAGAATATTTTACATATCTTGAAAAACGGAGAGAAGATACCAAAGAGAAAAACAGTCAAAACCATGGCTAAATAGAAAAACAGCGAAAAGACGAACAACAGCTCAAAAGCTTGAAGAACACCAAATTGTCAGTTAAGCAGTTCACGTTCAACTTATAACACCCGTCGTGTTGCTCATCGGAAGTAAACATTGGGTCATAAGTCGCATTTGATGATTTTTTCAATCGAGGAAATAGGAAAAAAGCCCACGTGAAATGAATTAAGTTGTTGTTAATTACATTGTATAATCTAAGAATATGCACCATATTATTAAGCCAGAAACATATCAAAGATACAAAGCAAAAAAGGAATTAAAAGAAAAAAATATCGAAATTAGTTTATAAGTCCAAATGAAAATACGCCATCTCTTTGAAACATGACATGTGAAAAGACTTTAGTTATAAAAGTACAAATATACCTGAAGCAAATTGAGTGCTCTCCGTTGTTGGCCTGGTTGTTGTCGTTGACGTTTGAATTAGTACTCCGCCTAGTGTGTAAAAAGAAGTAAATACTAGTTGTTAGGGAGACAAAATAAAAACAGGGATTCCAATATGGCTTCGTATTTGAAGTGACAAGATCAATAATTTTCACAAATAAGACAACACCACAAAATCTTTTAAAATGCTGATAAACGCTACATAAAAGGGAAAATGAAAACAAAATGCATTTTTAGATACACTAAAAAAAGGACAATAGAAAATAATTATGAACTCATGTATCACAGAGCTCAATTTTGTTTTAAAATTATCTCTTTCATTTCATAGCGTTATTCAAATCTTTTAAAGATTTTTTTATTATCGATTTTGAATTTTTTGCGTGTCCTATTCTCAAATGTTGAATTGTAAAGGTACACTAATGGTTTATGTCGTTTCTTGACAGGTGTTAATGCTTGAGTTAATCATAAATATGAAGCAGAAACGAATTCGATCATTCTTCTTTTGTTTTGTTGGTTGCACTGTAAATATACAAAACTGTCAATTATTACGCATTTGACTTAAGCTGTTCATGAGTTTTGTCCAATCTTTACTCTTATAAAAGGGAAATTAAAAGTTTCCAAAAGATAGTTTAAATCCTACCCGACTTAGTCATTGTTAAAGGTTCAATCGACTATATACAGGTTCAAAGTTGACCTTAAATGGATTTGGCTATTTTGGTCATATATCTCTTCAACTGTTTCGGTTCTCATAAATTATTGGCTTTCAAATATGCATGAAATATATAGTGTTCTTTTCATTTTTTTTTTTCAAGAAAATAACTTCTTCATCATTCAACAATAAACGTTTCATAGATGTTTCATAAGAATTTCAATCCTCCTCTTACCTGGGACAGTGGTATAACAGCACAACATGAAAATATAAAAATCATTTGAAAAGGGTTTGACTCATCAGATGGAAGCAAAACAAACAACTAACAAAAACAGGTAAGACATAAAGTAACGATCTGAGAGTACTCGCAGTTACTGAATGCTACCTCCAAGCCAATAACATCTTGTAAAAAAATCATGTATCCAAGACAAAAATCAGTAAGTACCCATCCACCGAATAAGTGTAAATATGTCATAAACAATCTAGGAAAACATAACCTTGTGCCAAAATATAAGTATCGACAGGATGAAGAACCGTTAGCGTTAATAATTGTATAGCATTAGTTTTAATCTATTAAGGTAGATCATCGGTATATGTTTCCCGAGATAGAATTTTCTTATACTTTGCCAGGATGAAGATTTTACTATGATCTTTTCAAAAATATAATAAAACGGATGGGTCACCGTGCTATTTTTCAAGCTATGAGTCGTTGAAAATTGCCTAAATTTGCTTAGATTGTTCATGAAAAAACACATTTTTGTGCATAAAAAGAAATCTATGAGATAGAATTTTGAAATAAATTGTGAGAAGATAGGTTTTATAATATGTGTTAAGAAAATAAAAGGAAAAAATGGTGTCACCGAACTTTTTTACTTGCTACAATTAAAAATTAAAAATTTCCCTATCAGTCCAGTATAAATTTTTTGCTTAAAGAGTTATCTCCCCTTAAATGGCTCAGTTGAAAAAATTGATTCTATAAACAAATGTTTGGTATTTGTTTAAAATTTTGAATAATGCAATAAATCAGCAAATTTTCTTCATATAAATAAACAGTCCAACCAATAAAATTGCACATTCTGTCTATAAATTTGCAGATTTGGGCAAATAACTAGACTGATTGTGTACTGCGATAGTACAATCCAAGATGGCGGTATCAAATTAATCTACCTTAATAAAACAATCAATGTTAGTACCGATGAAAACAATATTCAAATATCTAATTACAATGTAAATTGATAAACTTTGAGAATAAGTTTATTCAGAGGATCGAAAAGCTTACAAATACGGATTCAATTCTCCATTATTTCGCTGCTACAACGATTGCTTAGTATCATTTCTCGTTCTGTAGCTTTGAAAGGGTCATATTACCAACTGCATTAATGAACTATAGTTGACCTCATCCAGGGTTTAAGAAATTAATTCAATATGTCTTACATTCACAGTGAGATGGTGGACAGAAGCCTTGAGGACAAACAATCTGACACCATATATCCATGGCAGGATTCGCGAACATTCCAATCCCTCTACATGTAACTAAGTTTGCTGCAGCTGGTTCATCTGAAAGTTAACAAAAAAACTTTTTTAATCAGATCTTTCCTGAGAAAGATAAATCAAGAATGGCGCCTCGACGCACAAAATTTATAAAGTGTTATTTTCATTTAGGGGAACGTTTCTGTTGAAAAAAAAATTGAAAACAACACGTTTAATAATTTCATGCGTCCGAAGCGCTTTTCTGGATTTACCTTCATCAGGAACGCTCAAAGCCAAACATCTGAAATCCGAGGGATGTATAATTACCGAAACAGTTGAAGAGCTGTATGACAAAAATACCTAAAACAAATAGCCAAATCCATCTAAGGTCAACTTTGCCTGAGGGAGTTGAAACCTTAGTTTCTTTATAATTTCAAAATTTATAAACGGACAATTTTAGAAAAGTTTGTTATAATTCATGTCAGTACCGAAGTATTGACTACTGAGCTGAAACTGCTGAAGCAGTAAGAATATAAGGCACGAATTAAGCCTTAGATGTTAGCAACAGTTTTAAATGTGCAATAATAATGGGAAATGCATAAAATAAAAAAAAAATAAGAAGAATGCGGAATATATAGATAAGAAATTTAACGAATCATGAAAATAACGTCATGATTGGTGCCACGGTAATTCATCAAATGCGAAATTTGTTTTATTTTCTGAACACCTTTCACTTATGTAATGTAACAACAAAGTTATGATGATATTTGGAACCTCATCAATTTGAATTGAATTCCTGTCAAATAATGATCTCTTGCACCTATTCCGTTCAGTTTTATTGGTATACATACAATTATGATTTTTTTTAATCATAAACCGTAGTTGATTTATATATAATTTGAATCGGAAAACTTCAAAGCAATTAAATCAAATGTTTTAAAGACTACACTAATACTAGTAAATGCCTATATACACAAATATAACTCTGCAATAAAAATTGGTAAATAATCATACTTTAAGATATTAATGCCTCGTTCACACTTTCATTTAATTCGAATTGAATTCGAATCGAATGCGAATCGAATTCGCTAATCGCGTTCACACACTCTTCTTTTTTAATTCGAATTGATTCGAATTGGCTAAATCGCATTATCCAATTCGCATTAGAACAGTAAAGCGAATTTGACGCCGTAATTTGTCACGTGTGAATAATATTATTATTTTTTTTTTTTTTTTGTATTAATATCTTTTAATATATCATCAAAGACATTATAAACTTTTATTTTATTCACTTTAACTAACTAATTTTATTTTAAAATTATATTTTTCATATCGTAAATATAAAAATATCCGCTTTTTCTGTTAAGTATTTAAAATTCTAATACTCATTCGATAAGTGGAGTGCTCCGATAAAACGGAGGCATATACCAGAACAGAACAGAACAGAACGCGCATTGCAATTCGAATTAGAATTTACGTTTGGACGTTAAACGTTTCGAATGCGAATTAAACTAATTCGAATTAGTTAATGCGAATCGAATTCGAATTACGTGTGAACGCAGCATAAAAGGCAATAAAATTCAGAACAACAAAACGATAAACTAGAGACAACAGAAGTTGCGATGTTGACATATCGCTAATCGATAAAGAATATAACGTCACGGTACACAAATTGCACCGAGTACCCAAATTGCACTTATTTAGCAAAAAAAGCAGAGGAAATCTTACAAGTTTTCATAGAGACTAAACAATTTGCATTTTTATGATTTGACACTATGCACGTCTTTCAACAGAGGTAAATATATTTAAATATACACAAAAAGTTCACGGTATATATAAACAGATGAAGTGTTCACTGGAAAAAGTCAAATTTACGGTAACGTCGCGATGCGACGTCCACAAAAAGTCATCTTTTAAAAATTAACAAATATAATATGTTACAAGTATTCATTTCTTACAAAATGAATAGTAAGCATGGACTGATGTCAAATTGTTCTAAATATTTAAAGAAATAAAACAAAATATCTGTTATTCAACTTTTAAGGATGTGAATTTAAGCATGGATGCAATTTGGGTACTCCTCATTACAGAATCATTGATCGTTTGGAGGTCTGTTCAAACCCATTTTTCCATGATTCAATATGGATTCAAAATTAAATTGGTGGAACTATATAGTAAATAATGATACATCTACAAAATAAACACAGAATGGAAACTTTTGTCTAGATCATAAATAAACGTAGGTGAAAAACTATCAAAATAGGTGCAATTTGGGTACCCTCACGTTTCAAATCAAGATTTTAGAAAAAAAAAAGTCGAGTGAACTCCAAACGGCGGACAGAGTATAAGTGTCTCTGCCTATGCAGTTATCACCAGCCTTTAAATTCCACACTCTTTCAAAATGCCACAAAAGAGATGTTACATACTCGGTAAATGTACAGATCAGACGATTTTTCTGGTACTTAAAGATCTGACATAGCGAAAACATTATATTGTGTGTTGATACATTGACACATAAAATCATTCTTCCTAACAACCATGTCGGAGGAGGTTTTGCGTCAGAAACACTTACCCGTTTATAGCTTCCGAATGATGCAAACATGCACGCGCGTAACGCATCAATTGAGATATGGAATTTATATAATGCATGCACTCACTAAAATGTGGGTATTTGCTACCAAAAAAAATTAGTGACAGAACATCATCAATATACCTTAAAGGAACATGGCAAGACGCCTACTGAAAAAAGGATAAAAAAATAAACTTGACTACAGAGTCCCTGGTACATAAAGTGTATGGCGAGATCCTTCCTTGCATGGAACAGAAATATACAGTATATGATGGGGGTCCTGATTGCGTTATCTACTAACAGGCATATAAAAACTCACAAACTACAGGCTTTTGATTTGGCACACCAGACGTGCGTAAGTCTACATAAGACTTAAAAATTCAAATATATGACAGGAACATAAAGAGTATGATTAGGTAAGCTCCTTTCCGGTATAAGGCAGGCATAGTTAGTAAGTGGAAAGATAAGTTCCTTCCCAAAGTATGACAGGCGCATAGACTACGTGATGGGGTAAGATTCTTCATGGCATGAGGCATGAAAATATTGTAAGTGTCTTGTCAGTCTTATTCTGACAAGAGCATAAAGTGTATTCTGTAGTTAGATCCTATCTGGCTTAAGGAAGTTGTATGATATAGAATTAGATGCGTACACGTATGTGACAGGCAAAGAAAGTAAGTGGTAGGGTAAACTTTTCTCAGGGACAAGACAGGTGAATCAAATATGTGGTAGGGTAAGCAGCTTTTTTTACATGACTATGGACAGGTAAATCAAGTATGTGGTAGAGTTATCACCTTCCTTACATGACAATGGAGCAGGTAAACCAAGTTTGTTGTAAGGTAAGCATGATCATGACATGACATGGTGCAGATAAAACAAGTATGTGTTAGAGTAATCATCTTCTTTACATGGCACTGTGCAGGTAAATCAAGTTTGTAGTAGGAAAAGCACCGTATTGTCATGACATGGAGGATGTAAACAAAATATGTGTTAGGGTAAGTACCTTCTTGACATGACACGAGACAGATAAAAAAGGTAAGTATTAGGGTGAGTACCTACCTGGCATGGCACTGACAGGAAATTCAATAAAATGTCAAGGTAAGCACGACAATGAGTATGTAACTCAAATATGTGTTAGGGTAAGCACCTTGCTGACATGACATGGGATAGTTAATTGAGTGTGTTTTAAGGAAAGTACATTTTTGATCTTACATGGGGCAGTTAAATCAAGAGTGTTGTGCGGATAGTTTTTTCTGGAATGAGAAATATATAAATTATATATTCGGATGAGGAGGGTGGGTTGTTTGTCCTGACTAGGGATAGATATATAAAGTATTTTTCTTAACATGTTTGCATGTCTTTAACCCTTTTAAATGAGCAAGATGTTCAAGAATCCATTCGAGAATTTGTTTCTGTCATTCTTGGTTTCTGCTTTTATTTATGAAAAACGGTAACCTGAGTTGAATGTAGGTCCGAGTTCCATAAGTGGGTATATCATGCGGATACCAATTATCAAATCGCCTCTTTAAATTAACGTCTCTATTCACACTTTTTCAGTTGTCACGTATGTCATTTTACTAGTTAAGTATTAATTTATAGATTTCAAGCTTTTCATTAAAAACGTCGATATTTGGACATTTTACAATTTTGTATTAGTGTCGTGACACCTTTTCAATCCAACAATAAAAAGGACGAAAAAGCTATTTCTAATTTCGTTCAGAGAAGAAAATTTTTAAAAAGTAATAGACTTGCACGAAAAAATGTAAAAAATAAACGTTTCATGGACAATAACTCCTTAAGGAGTCAATTGACTATTTTGATCATTTGACTTATTTGTAGATCCGACTTAGCTGAACATGTTTGCCATTTACACTTTCTCTCTATCTATTATACTGTTAAAGATAATAACCAAAAACAGTACAAATTCATAAAAATACTATATCGGACAGTAACCCTACAATGGGTGGTCCAATTGGTCTGAAAATTAAATAGCAGATAGATTTTGACTTATTCATCCCTTTAACTCCTGTCACTTTTGCTCTAACTGCTATAGTTTTTGAGATAAAAGCCAAAAACTGCATTTGACCCTATGTTCTATTTTTAGCCATTGCGCCCATGTTTGTTAATGGACCAAAACTTCGGATACAATTTATAAACCAGTTACCATAAGGAACATTCAGTTAAAGTTTAGAAGTATTAGGCCCAGTAGTTTCAGAGGAGAAGATTTTTAAATGTTAGCAAACATGAAGAACAATTTGTGTAAAATTGTCTTTAAAGGGCAATAACGCCTTAAGGGGTCAAATGACAATTTTGGTTATTTAATTTTTTTGTAGATCTTAATTTGTTGAACATTTTTGCTGTTTACAGTTTATCTTTATTTTCAATGATGTTGAAGATAATAACCAAAAACTGCAAAATTTCCTTAAAATTACCAATTTAGTAGCAGCAACCCAATAATGGGTTGTTTGGTTCGTCTGAAAATTTCAGGGCTGATAGATCTTCACCTATTGAACATTTTTAT